ATAGGGCCTTAATGGTCGCTTGAGCATGATACTGCACTATAAAGGATAAATAGAAGTATAAAATAAAACAAAATAAACTGAAAGATGAAGTTCTCTTGAACAAAAACAAAAGAAAAAGGGTGATCAGGAATCCACAAATTACTTAGGCTAGTACTCAGTAACAAATCTATAAGTTGATATATTTATTTGCTTGTACTTGCTCCATTTGTCACTATCCCCTTGTGGACCAAACAAAACAATAGTGCTTAAGCACTATTTGTACTCTTTCACACCAACCTCTTTCGATTCTCGAAGAACATCTAATGTACAAAGATAATGTATTTTTGTCTCTTTTTTTTATATTTATTCATGTCTACATCATATTCGCACCAAACTTTACTCTGTCCCTTTGATACTTTTAAATAGTCTTCTTGAAAAGGTCAAGGAAAGCCCATTTTTTGATTCCTCGACACCAGAATATAGGCTCGGATCTGTGATTATGGATATTGCAAATCATAGGCTTTTTAAACCCCCGCGTTTTACTGAAGAAAATGCAGCTAAAACAATCCGTTTTTTCCCTTAAACTTCAATATGCCAATAAAGGAATTGACGCGGTTAATATAAGTAATATTCTTAGTCACAAAAGGGTCCAGTCTTGTATTCCACCATATTTCAAGTTAAAGACTACACCTTGTATTTCCTACAAATATACATCGACTATTGCTTCCAATTTTTTTAATTACAAGAAAACTTTACAGGGCCTGATTATCGAATATCTGAAACATAATCCTCCATCGTGTTCCTGTTCTTCTTCGCCCTATACATGTAACTATAGTCCTGCTGGACACGTTATTACTGGTGACGTAAATATAGTTAATAATGAGGATCTTAGATTACTAATTTTAAAAGGTCCTAAATTTAGGGAACCCCGATCCTTCAACTGGCGTCGGAATTTCATAAATATTATGCATTCTGTAGAGGACTACGCCAGGCGATGGGCCAGACATGAAAAAGAAGACCTTGACACTTTGTCAGAATGGATTAAATGTATCAGATGTATGCTAAAATCACGCATTAAAAGATTGAGGGGCAATATGAGAACCATCTTTCCTTCTGTATTCAATAATCCAGAAGTGAAAAAAGAATTAGATAGATTACATGATCAGTACGTACTGGTCCCTGCTGACAAAGCAGGTAACGACATTGTCTTTGTTTGTAAGGCTCATTATATTAAATGTATTTTAGAGGAACTTTGATTTAATTCTACAAGTGGTAATCCAACTTATACTCGTAGTTCCCTTTCTAAGGAAGAAATTCTTCAAAATCATATGTCAGTTTTGAATATTTTTAATATTCCAAACAACCAAAATGCATTTGAATTACCATATTTATATTGGATTCCGAAACTTCATTAAAATCCTTACAAACAAAGATACATAGCAGGTTCCAGTAAATGTTCAACCAAGCCTCTTTCTTTACTCCTCAGCAAGATATTAACAGTGGTGAAGGAGAAACTTCAAGAGTACTGTTCAACATATTCGAGAAGTGGTGTAAATCAGATGTGGATACTTAAAAATTCCAAGGAACTTTTGGAAAATATGAAATCGCAAGATTTTACCAAAATCAACAGCTTAAAAAGACTTTTCTACGTTATACACAACCATTCCACACGATAAATTAAAGTCCAAGATTATTGATATAATTGACAGCTGATTTTTCAATAAAAATGGAACTCGTAAATTTACTTACCTTGTCATTAGTCATTTGCAAAATTATTTTTTTAAAAAACATTCTGATTGTACACACAAGTACTCTGAGGATGACATCAAAAAGATGCTTGAGTTTCTGATTGTCAATATCTATGTGGTTTTTGGAGACCAGGTCTTTAAACAATCTACTGGAATCCCCATGGGTACCAATTGCGCCCTGTTATTAGCAGACCTTTTTTGTATTCCTATGAGGCAGAATTTGTCCAAAATCTTGTACGTAAAAAGAAGAAAACACTTGCTGTGGCCTTCAACTCGACATTTAGAAATATCAACGACGTATTGTCAATTAACAATGGCTATTTCCATTCTGATGTCGATACGATATATCCTGGTGAGCTTGAGATAAAAGATACCACAGAGTCTGACACATCTGTTTCATATTTGGATATTTTACTTGAGAAAGACGTTAATGGTAATCTAACAACCAAACTTTATGATAAACGTGATGACTTTAACTTTTCAATCGTCAACTTCCCTTACTTATGCAGCAATATACCTTCATCACCTGCATACGGGGTATAAATCTCTCAGTTGATTCGATACGCAAGAGCATGCTCTACGTATGTACAATTTCTAAAACGAGGTAAATTATTGACAAACAAGTTGATGAAACAAGAATATCAACTGTCTCGTTTAAAGTCATCATTTCGTAAGTTCTATGGTCGATACAATGACATTGTCAGCAAATACAATTTATCATTGAGTCAAATGCTGACTGACGTCTTTCATACTAATTGTTAGGTCATTATTTACACATTGAATTGTCGACGGTTTTTTCCGTTATTTTCCGATCATGACAAGGAGCACACGGCGGGTGTGACAGGTCGGCAGGGGATGCTCATTCCTCCATGGCACCTGATGCCACCTCTGATGTTTGGAGGTCCGTGTTTGCTCTGCTCCTATTTTGTATTGTTTAATGGACTTTTGAGCTTGAATACTGTTTGATATCTCCATATATTTCATTTACAAGTCTACATGGCTATAAAACTATGAATTCAAAGTACTTATTGTATTATGTATTACAAATATACTCAAATAATGTCAAGGAGAAAAGAAGACAACTTTAAAATAAATAATGCATTTTCAATAGGGATTCAACACACCCTTGACCCAGCGTCCAGAAAATTCACAATTTTGAAAGAGGCATCCTTTCTCATCATAACTAAGTGCTCAGTTTGCTTTCTTAATGCCAGTAGAGAAGGCGATTTTCAATAGAAGACATTTTCTATATTCATCAATAGAGCCCCCCCCCCCCCCCATCACCACCACAAAAACACCAGAACGACAGACACCAAATTTCACAATTTTATAAGAGATATCATCACAACAATCACTCAGATTTTCTCTAAAAGTTTATGAATTTTATTAAAATATTAGTTGAGTATATGAATGTGATAAATCATAAAATAATACAGCATGAAGAAGGATCATTCTGGAAATATGAAGTCATTGATTTGGTACAATCTTAATTTTCTAACAAAAAATGACCTAATTCTGGGGTTATTTTCATTAATAAGAAAATAGTGTCCACAGCCGTCGACCACCTCAATTTTCTGATATGTTGTGTAAATTTCTTTAAAAATCACATTTCTAAAATTTTCAGTTGGAAATGCCTATGCTTTATATTATCTGAGAGAAATTTTCCCAAAAAAAGATGTCTGCAACAATTTATTAAGAAAATACGGGAAAATGCCCAAGTTAAACAAGTTACAATTAGTGTTTAGGAGGACATATGAAAAATACGATTTGTATGTTCCTACTGCATGGAATTTCAACGATTCAGAAAGCATTAATTTTTAATTAATTTTTACGTCACTTTCACATTTTAGAAAAATACATGGCCAAATTTGATTTGAAGCCGTACTTTGTTCTTTCACAATTTTGGAAGACCCATCATTGCTTATCCTAACCATGCCCAACTTATCTACTCTTTTACTGTTTTTAATAAGAGCCCCGCTTAAAGACCAGGACCCCTGACTCTGTGGCCATGGAATGAACAAATTTGGTAGAGGGCTCAATGCTTACAATTATACCAACAGTTTTTACAACTGGATGTCCAGGAGTAAACACGAATACTTTTTAATATGGCACTAATTTTGATGGTTTTAGCCCAACCCCTCAGATCCCCCTACCTCCCCCACATGGACCAAGAAATTCATAATTTTTGTGCACAATCAGCCATTAATGCTTAATATTAAAATTGGTTTAAATGGTTCTGTGGTTGAAGACAGGAAGCTGAAAGTGTGCAAAAGTTTAAGTCCGCAACGCTCGTCGCAGGCCGTACGGCGGACCACAACAAATAGCAATCAGTCAACCATGTGACTCAGGTGACCTAATAGAATTGGCACACGTTTTCAACCAAGAACCTTTGGTATCATGTTTACATGTATACTGAGTTATGGCACATAAACAATGCCAGCACAGGAATACCATAAATACATGGTCAACCTGAGCTAAAGAACGAGGTACAGTTTCAATATAAATCTGGCCCTGAATTTTTTGTAAAATATGAAAGTGATGAAAGAAATTAAAATTCATACTTTCTGAACTGTTGAAACTCTATGCACGAAGATCAAACAAATAGTTTTTCTCATTTGACTTCCTACATGCTAATTGTGACGTCATAAACCTGTGCATTTTCCAGTATTTTCTTAAAAAGTTGCAGAAGACATCAATTTTCAATGAAATTTTCTTTCAGATAATATAGACCACGTGCATCGCCACAAAGATTTTGAGAAATGTGATTTTTCAAAGAATTTAACACAACAAATCCGAATGTTGAAGTGGGCGACTATTTTCTGAATACTGTGTACACTATTTTCTCAAGGAAAGTACCCCCTGAAATGAGTCATTCTGCTTTTTTCTGATTAAAACTTTAAAAAATACAAAATTTATGACGTCATATCTGCAGAATGGTCCTCCTTTATGAACTATGAATTATGACACTCATATTCTCAACTCATATTTATCCCAATTTCAAAACTTTTTGAAAACATTAAACTTTTAGGACACAATAAGGTCAAAACCGTACCTTCTTCTTAGTTTTCCTTTTTGATGAGTGGAATACACAGAAAAAATGGCGAGAGTAAATATTTTTAATCAAAAGATTCTACCTTGAAGTGTAATTGTTAAGGTATAATTAATTTTTAATATTTATCTTATGGGATAATGCATCAAAAGGTGTGTGAAGTAATTAAAAGGTGACGAATGCTATGTATATGAAGAAAACCCCTTCTAAGCATATATGTTTATTTTGCATCCATCATTTTCATGAAAATAGAAAAATATAAATTGCTAATTAAAAGCGTTTACTTTTTACATTCCCGGTTTGGTAAATATTATGTTATTATAATTATTGTCATGCTTTAAAGTTGATAGGGGAAAAAAACAATGCTCATCTTCTCTAACTATGGGTAGATTTTCTCCAATAGAAAATATTCGTTTTCCTGGTCACTAGATAATATTTGGTTAACATTTTTTTTCTCTATTTCTTCTTCTTCAGAGACGTCTGAGAGAAAAGGGGGTATGCATGCAGAATGCGATCCCATCTCAGAACCTGTTTGTTGCTCGTCCAAAATATCGTTTAGATTGTCTGTTTTCTGGACAGAAGTATTTCTTGAATCCTGGTCTTGACCTTTCTCAATTCGCTCGTCATAATTTATTGAAGTTTCTGTTTCACTAGACAATGAAACGTTTTCATTTCTCTCTTGCCAACGATCTACGGATTCTATACCTAGTTGTAAATGATTGTATACGTGATTGCACGGATCAGAAATATCTCCCTTTTGATCTGTAGCTGATATTACGGCAGGCATATATTGTTTAGATACATTGGAACTATTTACAAAGTTTGACTTTCTGTCCTGCAGAAGCGTTGGATTTCTATCTCTGTTTACTGGTTCAACGTATTCTCCGACGTATACTGGAGAACTGTATTGTGGCTTGTCGTTGTTTTGGGATTTTTGAACCTAAACAGAATGAAGATACATGTGTATTTTAATAATGATTCCCACATCACCCAGTTGAAACATCAAGCCAACAACCGCTATGTTGGTATTGGGAAAATACTGCCATGATTAAATAATACAATTTAAAATCTTAAATGTGCCTTATTAGAATTTTACATACAATAAGTCAATGTTTAAAGGATACACAACAGAATTTAGCAGCATACAACTTGCACAGATCTACATATTTTTTCCTATATTTGTAAAGTTTATATACTCTTTGAACTTCTTTTGAGTAGCAGGTGTTATTTAGAAACTTCGACTGAGACCGGGGGATGCCGGAAACAACTGATTCTGAAGTGACTGAACAATCAACAGGTGTGTGTGTGTGTGTGTGATATAATTAATTCTATTGACTTTTGAAATTTGAGAGGAAATATATTGCTGAGGCTAGAGGGAAAAATTACACAGAGACAAAGAACAAAAAATGTAATTACAAATATATTTTTTCGGTTATAAAGCATAGACTGTAATACCTGAAATTTATGTAAATCGTTACTCGATCAAAGAGGCAAAACTTTATTAAAGGATCCATGCAATTTCAAGCTTTGACATAAATCCCTACAAATGTTAGAGAGCGGAAACTGAAATTTTTCCCCAAGTTCAAGAGGGATATTCCCGTCAAAAATCATCGGACCTCGACCAAATTCGAATTTGACCTGTATTTTCTGGTGAAATACCTGCATATGCAATTTCAACTTTATACTTACATCTCTACAAAAGTTAGAGAGCGAAAACGCTAAATTTCTTTTTTTCTAAGTTCAAGAGAAATAACTCTGTCAAAAATCATTGGACCATGACCAAATTCGATCTCGACCTGTGAATTTTTATGACGCATCTATATGTCAAATTTGAGTCGATCGTGTGCAACTTTCGCCGAGATAATGATGACGGAATGACAGAATAATGGAACAGGGTAACACTATATGCATAAAAAATCAAAACGGATGCAGTTATATAAGACTGTGGTAAACTTTTCATAAAATTAAAACATTTTCTTTGTTTTTCTTTTTTTTTTTTTTTTTTTTTTTTTGGTTACCTTTATCTCAAAAAAATAATTGTGAAAAATGAAGAATTGAATAAATCTTCTGTAATATAAATTTTAGAATTCTATAATATAGATTTTTTTAATCTACTTTTTTATCTTCTGTATAACTTTGCTTCTTTTGTTTATTTAATAACTTTATTTATAGGGGTTTTGCTTTACTAACTACAGAAAATCTACTTTTTCTTATGTTGTTAACATCTAAAATGACCCTCGGTAATATCTTCCATACTTGTGACGTAAAAAGTACAAAATTTCACATGATATATAATTTTTTGCTGTAAAACAGGCTTAATTTGAAGTAAAAGTATTACGATGTCATTTTGTTTTTGTTCTGTAATTTCTGAGTAGACGGGTGAGTCTGCCAGGTCTGAGTTGATTAGAGGTACATCCTGTCCCACGGAATGTTCAGACTTCATTCTCTTAACCTTATTGTTTTTACTGAAAACATAAGAAAGAATGTAAAAACACGTGTATAACTTAAAAATACAGATCGATTTCTTTTTTAAAATACAGATCAATTTTTACCTCTTCTTGCATATGAAGATTATGGCCATGGATAAAAGCATTCCACAGAAAACGCCAACGACAAAGGCACCCGTTGTAAACCATAGAAAACCATCTGCATCTCAAATAAAAAGTAGTAAAAATTTACTAATGGAATAAAGTCCTATTTGCGAAACAAAATCGAGAAGATAAACTCCTTTTTTACCTTCAAACCTATTTTTTCCTGTTTGCTCCAAAGGAATTGTAGAAGGATTGGTAGTAGTATATCGATCATTAGAAATATCATCAGCTCTTATAGTTGATGATTGTTGTTGAGAATCATTCGAATTTCTATCTTCAGTAATGTTTTCTGTAAGATTGTCCTCGCGTGAGCGATGTTTATTATTCTTTGCTTTGACTGTACAAACTAATTTGACATCAGAATTACATAGATTCAATCGACAAGTTTTCTGGCAATCACATTTTATTTCAATACATTTTCTTTCATTTGATGAAGTAATACAAATTCCTAATTCCTTGTTCCATTTTACTTTGAATTCCAAGACACAGTCAGCAACATTTACACAGTCATCGCCAGTAAGATACTTTTCAATTTCTATTTAAAAAAAAAAAGTCTGGAAATGAAACACGGGTTTCCCCCATATTTTCAAAGAATCATACATCAAAAATCTTAAAGAACACGAGGTCAACATCTTCAAGCAATTTTTACCATTATATTTTCTTTACGATTAAATTGAAAGTAAACTTAGAACAGTTTGCTTGTTTTACAAAACGAATTATTTTTATTTCTTACCGGTCATATTTGTTCCTATTGTCTTGTTTACACGATAGATGACATTTTCAAAATTTCTGATAAAAAGATAAATTCCTATTATGACGTTATATGTATTTCTTTTTACATTGAATCGTAATGCAGAAATTTTAAATCTAATAAAAACCAATATTTATTCATAATCATGGTGGGATTTTCCATGAATATGCAACAAAAATGAAATAGATATATTTATTAATTGTTATAGATCTAAAACAATGGCTATTTCATAATAATACAATCAGCAGAAGTATAGAAAAAGAAAGATTTTAAAATACCGCTAGCATGAGTTTCAATTAGCATAGAATCTGCATCGGATTAGCATAGCTACATATTATCTGCATTACGGGCATTTTAATCAACATATCTATAATTAGGTCGATTTGGCTCTCATTTAACAGATATTTTAGCAGGGGTATTTTGTAGACATTTATTTCAAATACATTTTTGAACCAAATTCATATGAATTTCAAATGCTAAAATTGCATCCTTGAAATTCAGTGAGTCTTAATTACGTGAATGACACTTTCTATGCCATTGATTTAATTCAATCAAAATAGGAAATGCATAACAAAATCACACCACTAACAAAGAGATGAAATAATAAATCAGGTCTTGTTACCTTTCTTATGTTTTAGATATCTATTTTACAATGTTTATAAGATGCAAAATCAAATGTGCTTTGCTTTTAGTTTGAGGCTCTTAACAGTTGATAAATAAGATTTATCATCATATGCATAACAATTTGACGCCAAAGAATATGCATGATACTCAATCTTTACAAGCCTGTCTGTTTTGAATTGTCTTCCGAAAGTCGATATTTTTCAGGTGAGAATTACATAGCTTATTTTGATACTAGTTATATAAGCAAGATTTTGATTCTTTTTTTAGCAGAAGCTTTACAATGTGAAATAATCTACTAAAATCTTATCATCAACATTTTAAAGGTGATAGCTCCATTATGAAAATATAGCTTTTTATTGCGTTTAAATAAAGTAAAAGCTTCCCTAATATTTGGCTAAATTCATATGATGGTAGTGATTTGTTTGTAATAAGGAGAATTTGGTGTTGCTTAAATAATTGAGGTGATGATATGTGAAGAAGTTGCAAACATATCCATACTCTCATATGTTCCCATGAATTCTCTGTAAATTTGATTCTTTAATATATCATCTTTTAAGCCATCACTTAGCAAACAACATTGATATCTTTCCCGATCATGACAAGGATGACACGGCGGTGTGACCGGGCGGCATGGGGATGCTCACACCTCCATAGCACCTTACTGACCCCTCCTCTGAAGTTTTGGAGATCTGTGTTTGCTCTGATCCAGGTTTGTATTGTTCAAATGGCTTTTGAGCTTGAATATTGTTATTATCTCCATATTTCTTTATGGAAGAGATTAGATCTTGCACCTTTGAGTACATTTCTGCTAGACCTCTAATTATAGTGGAAAAGTCCTTGGAAAAAAGTTTCCTTAACTTTAGCATGAAATATTGAGATGATGGACACTAATTAAACTCAAAACTCCATTGAAACAATATAAATCAGGAGCAGAGCAAAAACGGACCTCTAAAACATCAGAAGTGGGATCAGGTGCCATGGAGGAGTAATCATCCCCTGTCGACCGCGGTCACATCCGCCGTGTACTCCTTGTCTTGACTGGGCAGATCAAAATTCAGTGTGGAAATGATGGCCTAAAAATTAGTATGTAAAACGTCAGTCAATATTCGACTTAATGATAAATTGTATTTGCCGACAAGGTCATTGTATCGACATAAGAATTTGCGAAATAATGACTTTGAAGGAGATCATTTATATTCCTGTTTCAATAACTATAAAATACTTTTTTGTAGTATCTAAAAATGTACATCATAGACCGCCACTTTTATTTTTCTCTTCTTAATGTATAAGATACATTTACCCATTCTGCTTAAATTTTGTAATATCGAAAGACTTTTAAATAATTTCAAGGCTTTTAAATATTTAATGACAGAAATATGACATTTGTGAGTGCTAAAAGATAAAACATGATTGTGTTAAGTAAATTAATTTTTGTTTTCTTTTTTCATTTTCAAAGCGTCTATAAAACATAGAATAAGACTGTATTTGGTCCCATTATCCAATTAGATAAAAAAATATTTACCCAAAAAGTTGAAAAACGGGTTTATGAGTGAGACGCAAGTTAAGTGCAAAAAGATCATATTAAATGCACACTAGTGCCAAAAGGAGCATATTGACCCTTTTTAAATTTGATTTCATTTTTATTTATTCTTCGTGTGTATATGCTAAAACATTCTTCATAATTTGTTTTAACGACTTTTCAAAGCAGCATCCAACTTCCTAAATTGGATCTTCCGCCAGATAATTCATTGGTAATCCAACTTATACTCATAGTTCCCTTTCTCATGAAGAAATTCTTCAAAATCATATGTCAGTTTGGAATTTTTTTAATATTCCAAACAACCAAAATGGATTTTAATTACCATATCTATATTGGATTCCGAAACTTCATAAAAATCCTTACAAATAAGATACATAGCGGGTTCAAGTAAATGTTCAACAAGCCTCTTTCTTTACTCCTCACTAAGACCTTAACAGTAGTGAAGGAGAAACTTCAAGAGTACTGTGCAACTATATATTCGAGAAGTGGTGTAAATCAGATGTTGATACTTAAAAATTCAAAGGAACTTTTGAAAAATTTGAAATCACAAAATTTTACCAAAAAATTTACGATTTTTCAACTTTATACAAAACCATTCCCAACGATAAATTAAAGTCCAGGCTTTTTGATATCATTGACAGCTGCTTTTTCAATACAAATGGAACTCGTAAATTTACTTACCTTGTCATTGGGTCGCCCGCGTGGCGCAGTGGTTAGAGCGTCTGCTCTAGAGTCGCGAAGTAAGGAGTTGATCCTTATGTCGCGGGTTCGAATCCCACTGTGGGACGTGGAGACCGGTCATTCGGATGAGACCGTATAAACCGAGGTCCCGTGTCGCAGTGGGTGCTGGCACGAAAAAGATCCCTCACTGCTCAATGGCCGTAAGTGCCGAGTATAGGACAAAATTTGCAGCTCTCCACCGGCAAGTGGTGGCGTCTCCATATGAGTGAAAAATTCTCGAGAGAGACGTTAAACAACATACAAACAAACAAAAAACCTTGTCATTGGTAATTTGCAAAATTATTTGGTTAAAAAACATTCTGACTGAACACACAAGTACTCTGAAGTTGACATTAGATAGATGCTTGAGTTGCTGATTGACAATATCTATGTGGTTTTTGGAGACCAGGTCTTCCAACAATCAATGGGTACCAATTGCGCCCCGTTATTAGCAGGCCTTTTTTTGTATTCATATGAAGCAGAATTTGTCCGAAATCTTATACGTGAAAAGAAGAAAACACTTGCTATGGCCTTCAACTCGACATTTAGATATATCGACGACGTATTGTCAATTAACAATGGTTATTTTGGAGGTCCATTCTTGTATGTCGATACGATATATCCTGGTGAGCTTGAGATAAAAGATACTACAGAGTCTGACACATCTGTTTCATACTTGGATATTTTACTTGAAAAATCTAGTAAAATGGTAATCTAACAACCAAGCTTTGTGATAAACGTGATGACTTTAACTTTTCAATCGTCAATGTCTCTTATTTATGCAGCAATATACCTTCATCACCTGCATACGGGGTTTATATCTAAAAGTTGATTCGATACGAAAGAGCATGCTCTACGTATGTACAATTTCTAAAACGAGGTAAATTATTGACAAACAAGTTGATGAAACAAGAATATCAGCAGTCTCGTTTAAAGTCATCATTTCGTAAGTTCTATGGTCGATACAATGACCTTGTCAGCAAAAACAATTTATCATTGAGTCAAATGTTGACTGACGTTTTTCATACTAATTGTTAGGCCATTATTTACACATTGAATTGTCGACGGATTTTTCTGTTATCTCCCGATCATGACAAGGAGTACACGGCGCACTTAACCGGTCGACAGGGGATGCTCACCCCTCCATGTCACCTGATCCCATCTCAGGTATTTTGGAGGTCCGTGTTTGCTCTGCTCCTATTTTGAAATGTTTAATGGACTTTTGAGCTTGAATACTATTCGTTATCTCTATATATTTCATTCATACGTTTTCAGCGGTAAATGAAACTTAGAGTCATTACAGGCCGCATTCCGGACTTATGGGTAATGTTCGCTAGAATTTCGAACATTTACGTTTCATAAGAACTGAAAAGTATATTATAAAAACTTACATTTTCCCATTTTCTCCCATCAGGTCATTCTTCTTAGGATCAAGTGGATTTTCGCAACCTGACGCCCAAACCACACAACATATTTCAGCTTTATAATATAAAAATTAAATAAGTAGTATTTGTTTTTTGCAGTGTTTCTTTTTTCACTCTATCATTTTACTGAAATCTATTTTTCCTAATACATGATTGATAAGAATGAAATATCCGGAAACAAAAAAAAAAAAAAAAAAAAAAAAAAAAAGAAAGAAAAAGAAGGAAAAAAAAATAAATGAAACTAAAACAAGCAATTATGTTTAAATCAAATTTGATAAATGAAAAAAGGAGGAGATATCGAACAGGGATTGATCTGGAAAAAAAACTACAAACAATGGAAATCTATAAACAGGGCATAAGACATGGACCCTAGAAAGGTGTTATGGGTTGTCTGGAAGAGGTAAATAACCCACATCTGCCATAAGCACTGTGTATCTTACAGGAAGACGGAATATTCTGTAGTGAAATTTTATTTTTGAAAAATCACAAAATCCTAACAATAGCTATGAAATATGTCAGTCGAAGATAGCTTATATTTGCTATTAAGGTCATTAAAACGACGATAGAATTCACGAAATGCAGGGACGGTTGAATTCTTTAACCCTTCCTAAATCAAATTCTTCATAAATCAAAACCAAAACAAGTATCTACATATTGTACAACTGCGATATTTGATTCACTTAGAAATTAGCTATGAAATTATATGCAAGATTCGCTCAAATTTTGCTTTAAGTTATAAAAAAATGAGTAATGAGAACTTGTTGCTAATGATTAGTAATAAAAAAAGTGCTCTATTACTACTTACACACAAATATCAGGGAAATTAAACCTCCAACAAATTGTTTCATTTTACTCAGAGGGACCTACAAAAAGGAAGAATCTCTTATTATATACCTAAAATATTGTCTATAATAAAAAAGTAAAAGTCTAGAGTCTTATTGTGGCGTTTTGTTGAATGCTAAGTTTGCATTATGTATACGTATACTCATTTTGTATGCAAGACAGTGTGCAATATTAAAATCACGATTGTAAACAAAAAATGTCGTCTAATCAGCCCCTCAACGGCAATATTTATGATGACTAGAAGTAGCTGAGTAAGATATGTTTATTTCTACACAAAATTGAAATAATTAATAAGTGTCTATAAGCCTCTATATAAACCCAATAAGCAAATCAAAACGCGTGTTGGGGCCAATGGAATGATGTAATACACATTTTCAGGATAGACGCTGAATTATTACACACTTTCAATATAAATACTGATATTGAATACTTCTCAGTAATTATGAGTTAGTTCATTTAAAAATTAATATTAAATCAGTGGAAAAAAGTTATACCTGTGTAATGAAAGAGATATAAAACTTGGTGGAAATTTGCACTTGTTAGCTGTACAAATGCACTCACAACCTCATGTATTTGTACAGCCAACACGTACAAATGTCACAATAGTAGATCAAAAACTTTTAATACCATCTCTAGAGTTTTATACATTTATTCTATTAAAATTTTCTTACTTGTCAGTAAGTACAAAAACAATTTAGTCTTTCATATAGTACTTTTAACACTATCAAAAATATTATAAACATATATTTAGTTGTTTTTTTTTCTGATAAAATCATACCGAAAAAAGAAATGTTAAAAAGGATTTTTTATGGATACAAACCTCGGCACATGATCTGAACCATGTACATGTACATATAGTCAGGTACATCATCAACTTCCTCAACAACTTGTATGATGAAACCTTTATTACTCTATATGATATACACATGTGAAAAACATATACAGTTCAGTATTTTATTGATGGACATAATTGATATCTTTGTCTATATTACAATTTAACATTTATAATGTAAATTTTTATCGGATACTATGATTCAGTCACAAGATGATACATGTTGTCTTTTGTTTCCGGAAGTATTGTCATAAAATGTCTAGGGAGGTTAATATATGATTGAGGCAAAGAGCAAATAGATTTTTTTTCAAATCCCTTTGTCTTTTCGTTTAGTGTAACGGTTACAATATAAAATAGATAAAATATAACACCAGCAAACAGTGAAAAAGTACATGTAGTTCAGAGAGAGAGAGCAAATCTAATCCAAACTACATAACTACATTACAAAAATTTATTTTTTCTAATGTTTTGCAAATGAAATAAGAACACAATCATGTCCAATAATTCAATGAAATACAATCTGATATCATTTCAATTATAATTAATGGTATTAATGTTGCGGGACCTCGAGTTTAGGAACCTTATTGTTTTCTTCCTTTCTTTCTTTCTTTTTGGATAGAACAATATCTATATATATCTTACATTGCATAACTATTTGGGAAAATACTTTGTATACTTTTTAATTTATTTTTGAAAATGTTCCCGGATATCCTTAGACAATTTGAACTTTGTCATGTGATGTACAACTATCGCTGCTTGGAATGTTTAACACAGTTTATTCACTGTTTTCTTCCTTATTGGATGTAAATATATATTAGGTACCTACACTCACTATATTTCACAAATACATGTATCAATTACTCATTCAGATAAAAGATTTAATCTTAAATGAAAATTACTTACCTTACACTGACTATTGACACTGGATACATAGATATTGTATAAAACACAGAATGCTGGATAGCATGCATATCAATTTCTCTTGTATTGTACTGTGATGCTAGTATTTGACCTCTTCTTCAATTACTTACTTCCTTAAACACACTTAAAAATACTTGTCAATGTATAATCTTTCACCAATGGCAGCTATACAGATTATAACGTACTCAGCTATAATACTCATCTTTCTTGGCTAAAATATATTTCATTTCATGCTAAATCTATTAAATGATAGGCAATGATAATAATTGTTTAAGTCGAATATCTTTCGGCTAAAACTATTCAAGTGTCCAAATGAATCTTACAACCATTAGATAAATTGAAAATCGCTATTTGTTTTAATTTTCATTCAGTTCGGGAGAACATTCCCTAAAAAATATTTCAATCTGACAATGTTACATACAGCATTTTCCGCTTTCAAAAGTAACTTAGAACGATTCACATTCAGGAAGAATTCATTTTCCTCTAAATCAAAAATTGCACGATTCATTTTAATTAAAGTATAATTAAGATTTTGCGTTGAGATGGAGTAAAATGAATTTAATAGTCAATGAAATTCAATTCTGATTGCATTGGCTATTTACAGATGTGATATCAATGACCTCTTCCTCAACAAAGCATTAAAAAAAAAAAACAAAAAAAAAAAAAAAAACACACACACACACACACACACAAAACTGTGAAGCCAAAATGTTTTGCAAATTTTATCTGAACAGGAAGAAAAAAGAAAGGCACATGGTAAAGCATCAAAAACTTGATTTTGTTTAAATATTGATAAAAGTATTTTTTTATGATTTTTCCGCAGTCTCGTTTAAAGTCATCATTTCGTAAGTTCTATGGTCGATACAATGACAGTGTCAGCAAATACAATCTTTCATTAAGTCAAATGCTGACTGACTTTTTCATACTAATTCTTAGGCATTATTTACACACTGAATTGTCGACGGATTTTTCCGTTATTTATCAGCAGTCTCGTTTAAAGTCATCATTTCGTAAGTTCTATGGTCGATACGATGACCTTGTCAGCAAATGCAACGAATGCTGACTGACGTTTTGTGAATCCAAAATGTTTTTTGGCAAATTTTATCTGAACAGGAAGAAAAAGGAAAGGCAGATGGTAAAGCATTAGAAACTTGATTTTATTCACATATTGATAAAAAAAAAAATTATGATATCAGTGTTTCCGGTTTCTGCATTTTCGAGGTTTTTACCTTCCTTCCAATATAAACTCAAAAGCCATGTACAGATGTACCTACATTGTATTACGCACCCAGAACTTAAAAATCAATAGTAACAATCACTGAAAGAAAAGAAATGGATATCCGTTTAGTCGTTGTTGTTTTTTCTATAGCTTTGATTTTAAAACCATTCTTTTGATTGTGCCATTTAGCATCACAAAATCTTGCCTTGAAGAACAAATTTGATTTAAAACCTAAAAAATGTGTCTTTAAAAAACAGTGTGTCCAGGTTTTGAATTCATGTAAATTGAGTAATAGGATACAAGATTTAACTTTTTTTTGGTAAACCCGTCTTAATTTTAGTGATACTAGTAAAACGATAAAAGGAACTTAAAGGCGTTGCTTTTGGTTTGTAAGGAGTAGATTATTAAGCAAAGGAGAAGAATAAGAACTCACACTCACAAACTAAACACATAAGTCATTCACAGACATTATATACATGTATGAGGGAGTTATATTTAGATGAATTTTATTTGCCTCCTTGAATTTTTTTAAAACTGATTCAGGAATCGATTCTTGCTCAAATATTACACATATCATTTATAATTGTATGTACATGTACCTTAAGTCATTCATAAAGTTTTTATATTCACTAAGGAAACAATTAATTTGCAAGGAAAATGTAGAAACTTCAATCCATTGGAAATATTCTGTGTCCTGAAAGTTGATGTCAAACGAATTCCAACACTTGTTAGTGCATGGTATTCATTAAATTTCACAGCATAGATGTATAAAGGATTCAAAAGAGCCACTCACTCTTGAGTGCAATTATTTATTTCTACGTATTTTTTGAAAAAAAGTGTTTTAAATTTCATCACAATTTAATAAACAACATTGCAAAAGAAAAAAATAATTCTCACTTTAGCATTTGAAGGTATATTTTATCAATTAATGAAATATATGGAGATAACGAACAATATTCAAGCTCAGAAGTCCATTAAACAATACAAAATAGGAGCAGAACAAACACGGACTTCCAAACATCAGAGGTGGGATCAGGTGCCATGGAGGAGTGAGCATCCCCTGCCGACCGGTCACAGCGGTTTCTGAATTTTAATGACATGCGAATTGTCTAAATATTTTCCGGTTTTCTCAAACAAGAACTCTGTTTTTAGACAACACTTGATCTTTAAAATATCCTGCAATTTGGTTATGTTTACGAGTGATATGAGATTTTTAAAATTTATTTTCCTGATTTATATTATTTGAATGGACTTTTGATCTCGAATGCTTTTCGTTATCTCCATATATTTCATTCAAAGCATGGGTAAAATCATCAAATACAAAAAAGAAAATACGTCTTTCTTATCGTAACGCAGTGTCGTAAACTGTGACGTTATAGTTGAGCGAAGCTGAGATTAAAAATTGTAAACATGGCTTTTTTTTTCAGCAATTAGGTGAAACGCAAGCAGTTTTAGTTCGTGTCAGGATGGTCTTTTTACTCTTATTGAAGGGAGTACTGTTTTTTCACATTTTTTTTTTTTTTGTAAAAGAAGGGAACATCAGAAATATGCAATGATTTTCATGTTATTCACTCTGTAAAATATCACTTACAAAGATTACGTCCTTTCAATGGAGAAATTACAGAATTTCATTGTTGAAAATGTAAAAAAAAATGCATTTATTTCATTTGTCAACATTTATTTTCCAAAACCTTTTTTCAATGGATTTCGTAATACAGAATTATTATTAAGTTCTAGGTGATTCGAACAGTAGAAAAGCTACGAGGTTTCTCTCATGTTGTCTTCTGTTCTGATTGGTACCATGGTTACTCCAGTTTGAACTTCATGATGAAGTTCCAAATATCCATTTCATGAAGTCCATCCAAGGTTAACTTCATCATGTACTGGAGAAATATATAAGCCATTGAATTCTTCATTTGCCTAAGTCAATAAAAAAAATCTTTAAAAACCCATACGAAATCAAAGAATTGAAAACTTCAATAATTGAGTTAAGTTATAGAAATAATAAAAATGCAAAAACAAAAAAAAGCTGTTACATTCTGAGTTTGGTCTGTAATTTCTGAGTAGGTGACTCCCCTTGTCAGGCCTGATTCATACAGAACAATCCTATTCGAAAGTAGCGTTTTACCCCGAGGAGTTGTCCTATACCATGAAATATTAAGCAGAAATCTTCAGCAATTTAAGTTTTATATCAGGAAAGTATGTTTGATTATATTTTTCTTTGGCACATCATGTATTATTTTTTTGAGAAAAGAAAATACAGGAGGAATGCTTTGGAATCTTTTTAAATATTCATGAAAAAGATGGTTAGCTCATTCTCACTCCTTTTACCTTTTATTGTAGGCATACCAAATGACCATAGCTGGTATCATTCCACTAAAATTCCAGTTAGAAACCATATTAAATCACCTGTTTAAATATATATAAAACAAAATCTCAATGACATTAACATGAATACGGGTAATAATTGTGTGTGTGTGTGTGTGTGTGGGGGGGGGGGGGTGTTCATTTACCTTCCACAAATCCACTTGAACTTTGCTCTAATTCAATGTCTGTGATACTTGTATTGTTTTCAATATTATTTGGTGTTGTTCCATAGTTTAAAGTATTTGATAGTCATGCATGGGAAAGTTCTTATTTTCGTCTTTACTATTTTCAGAGTCAATTTCTCTCTTTAAATTTTTGATCTGGTTTGTGCAGTGAAGATAGGTATCGGATGTTCTCAGTTGACTAGGAACAACTCTTTCCACATCTCGACAGCTACAGGTCCTTACAATACACTTCCGCTGATTTGAGTTGTTATTTGTAATGCAGATTTCCAGTGCGGTACTTGAAACTTTGAATTTCACATTCAAAGTTGCATTTTCCGTGAAGTTTTCAAATGCCTCAGCAATTTTATTTTCTATAGAAGAAAGATGCATGAAATTACAAATGAAAGCTTGTTTTGTTTAATTTTCTCTCCATTTATATTTTGTTTTCCTTTTCGGATAAGGACGTGGTGGTTGAAAAGATCTTTATAGACATACAAACACCCTTTTCTAGCTGTAAAAAAAATGTGAAATAGGAACCAGCTTCAAAGTTTAATATGAAAATAATTATTAAATAAGAGTACGTAATGCTTATGTCTGGCAAGGGCTTGGGTGGACAAAAACATTTTTAAATAAACAAACACCAATTTCAAGACGTGAAATAAACACATGCAAAAGGAATCATTTCAAAATCTCTGGATCAGTTTAATCTGATAATTACTGATAGCATATCTAACGTCTGTTACCTGTGATTGCTAATTCCGTTAAGCTTTTCTCTAGTCTGTTGATGATCTTTGCAAAATTTCTGAACGGTTTTTTCATATCGAGGAAAGGTGAAAATAAATAAAATTATATTTCTAAAAATGATTAGTTTTTCAAACATCTTTGCATTTATGTGTCTAACAAATTCGGCACTTACATTCTTTCATTTTTCATTATTTCTTCGCTCTTAACTGGGTTTTCACAAGTCCCAGTCCACATCACAGGAATGACAGCTTTGTAGTTTGAAATAAAAGTTCTTAATATTAAAAGAAAAAATGTGGAGATAATGAACAGTAATCAAGCTCTGAAACGGACCCATGAAAGCACTATAGATGGGATCAGGTGTCATAGATGATTAAGCATCCGCACGACGTCAGTTGTTAGTCTGTATTTGGTAAATAAGGTTCTTTTGTGGTTTGTTTTTTGTTGTTGTTGTTGTTGCTTAACGTCCCTCTCGAGAATTTTTCACTCATATGGAGACGTCACCACTTGCAGGTGAAGAGCTGCAGATTTTGACTTTTACTCGGTATTTAGGACGATTTAGCAGTGAGGGATCTTTTTCGTGCCAGAACCTACTGCGAAACGGAACCTCGGTTTAAACGGTCTGAAGGACCGGTCTCCACTTTCCATATTTGGATTCGAGCTGGCGACGTAAGAATCAAATCCTTACACCGCGACTCTAGAGCAAACGCTGTAACCAGTGCGCCAGGCGGGCGACGGTAAATAAAGTAATCTCTAGACAAATCAGTATGTGAATAATTGCCTTACAATTTGTATTAAATAGATAAGTCATGTTTAACCAAAATTACTTTGTTAAAAGTCATACTTATTTTTATCAAACGTACTTCGATAATATTATTAAAAGAATGTAGGAGTTCCTTATTGACAACGTTTATGGAGGCCTGGCGACCAGGTTTCCAACAAACTGTCAAACTCTCGACGGACTCTAATTTTGCTCCTTTATTAGGGTACCTATTCTTATAAAACAGAACTACTTGCATTTTCAAAACTTCTATTCGCTTGTTGTGGTCTTTAACTTAACATTTAAGCATATCGACGACGATTTATCTATTAACAGTAGTTACATCCATTCATTTGTCGACTTGATATATCCCACTGAACTCGAAATAAAATACACCACGAAGTCTGCCACACCTTTTCATTTTCGAATGTTTTATTGACTATATAGACGATAAGGCCGACTAACAACTAAACTGTGTGACAAAGGAGATGACTCCAGTTTTCCATCGTCAACTTTCTTACTTGCATAGTAACATTCCGCTATCACCTGCATCGTATTTACGTCTAGCAACTGATTCAGTACACAGGAGCATGTTCTAAATGCGATCAACTTTTTAATTGAGACAGGCTAATGAGATTTAAATAACCTTGTTCAAAGTAAGCACTTTATAAATTTATTCGACACTATACTGATCTTTTTAGCAAATATAGCTTACTATTGGGTTGTATTTTACAGACTAATCCCTATAGTTAAGTTTTTTATGCCCCCAGATCGAAAGATCCCGGGGGTATTTTTTTTTGTTCTGTCTGTCTGTTTGTCTGTCTGTCTGTTGTCAACTTTAACCTTGCCCATAACTTTTGATTGGTTGGAGCTATGACTTTCATATTTCACAAGTGTATTTCTTGTGACAAGACCTTTCTTTGGGTACCATCATATTTAACCTTTTGACCTTGACCTTAGAGTTTGACCCACTTTTGCAAAATTTTATGAGACTTTAACCTTGGCCATAACTTCTGAAGAGTTGGTGCTTCGGGTTTCAATCTTAACGTGTGTATTCTTTGTGACAAGTCCTTCCTTTGGAGACCAACAGCTTTGGCCTTTTGACATTGACCTTGGAGTTTGACCCACTTATGAAAAACTTTAACCTTGGCCATAACTTTTGAACAGTTGGTGCTTGGGGTTTCAAACTTCACATGGTCGACAGCGTGGCGCAGTGGCAGAGCGTCTGCTCTAGAGTCGCGAAGTAAGGAGTTGATCTTACGTCGCGGGTTCGAATCCCACTGTGGGACGTGGAGACCGGTCTTTCGGATGAGACCGTATAAACCGAGGTCCCGTGTCGCAGTGGGTGCTGGCATTAAAAAGATCCCTCACTGCTCGATGGCCATAAGTGTCGAGCAAAGGACAAAATTTGCAGCTCCCCACCGGCAAGTGAGTGAAAAATTCTAGAGTGGGACGTTAAACAACATACAAACAAACAAACAAACTTCACATGTGTAATCCTTGTGAGAAGACCTTCCTCTGGATATCAATTTCTTTGACCCTTTGACGTTGACCTAGGCGTTTGACCTACTTTTGAAAAACTTTAACCTTGGTCATAACTTTTGAACGGTTGGAGCTAGGGCTTTCATACTTCACATATGTAATCCTTGTGACAAGACCTTCCTTTGGATACCAACAACTTTGACCTTTTGACCTAGACATAGGAGTTTGACCTACTTTTGAAAAACTTTACCCTTGACCATGACTTTTGAATGGTTGATGCTAGGGCTTTCATACTTCACATATGTATTCCTTGTGGCAAGACACTCCTTTAGATACCAACAACTTTGACTTTGATCTTGAAGTTTTACTTACTTTTAAAAAACTTTAATCTTCGCCATAACTTTTGAACAGTTGCAGCTAGGGCTATCAAATTTCAAATTTCACAGGTATATTCCTCGAGACAAGACCTTTCTTAAGGTACCAACATTTTTTATCTTTTGGCGTGGATTTTGACTTGCATTTAAGAAACTTTAACCTTCGCCATAAGCTGCCATACGGGGGCATCAGTGTTTCACAAACACATCTTGTTTAAACTAAATTTCACTACAGAATATCTCCTCTACCTGATCAATACCTAGGACACACGGCGAGTGTGACCTGTTGACAGCGGATGTATACTATTCCAAGGCACCTGATCTTACCTCTGGAATATTTAAGGGTTTATGTTTAATGCTCTATTCAAAGATTTATATCATTTTGTAGATTTTTATATTATTTTATTTTTTTAAAACGTTGATCACTTTTTGTTATCTTTTCGTTTTTCATTCAAACAACTTAGTGGCAGGTTGAATCTACAAACTACATTTTTTTTTTTTCCCGTAAAGTTTGTGAAATGTTGACTTTATAGGAGATAGTTCGTGTACTGTCAATGTAGTTGTAGATAGTCTATTTCAATTTAGATTGTAGACGTAAGAGCATGTTGCTGCTAACCAAATCAGCTGTGGTGACATTATACACCATATAGCTTATAGTGGTATGTTGCTACATAAATAAGGGAAGGAATGATTGAAAAAAGAATTGAATCAATGACCCTTACATATCCATAAAAGTCGCCCGCGTGTCGCAGTGGTTAGAGAGTCTGCTCTAGAGTCGCGAAGTAAGGAGTTGATCTTACGTCGCGGGTTCGAATCCCACTGTGGGACGTGGAGACCGGTCTTTCGGATGAGACCGTATAAACCGAGGTCCCGTGTCGCAGTGGGTGCTGGCATTAAAAAGATCCCTCACTGCTCGATGGCCATAAGTGTCGAGCAAAGGACAAAATTTGCAGCTCCCCACCGGCAAGTGAGTGAAAAATTCTAGAGTGGGACGTTAAACAACATACAAACAAACAAACAAACTTCACATGTGTAATCCTTGTGAGAAGACCTTCCTCTGGATATCAATTTCTTTGACCCTTTGACGTTGACCTAGGCGTTTGACCTACTTTTGAAAAACTTTAACCTTGGTCATAACTTTTGAACGGTTGGAGCTAGGGCTTTCATACTTCACATATGTAATCCTTGTGACAAGACCTTCCTTTGGATACCAACAACTTTGACCTTTTGACCTAGACATAGGAGTTTGACCTACTTTTGAAAAACTTTACCCTTGACCATGACTTTTGAATGGTTGATGCTAGGGCTTTCATACTTCACATATGTATTCCTTGTGGCAAGACACTCCTTTAGATACCAACAACTTTGACTTTGATCTTGAAGTTTTACTTACTTTTAAAAAACTTTAATCTTCGCCATAACTTTTGAACAGTTGCAGCTAGGGCTATCAAATTTCAAATTTCACAGGTATATTCCTCGAGACAAGACCTTTCTTAAGGTACCAACATTTTTTATCTTTTGGCGTGGATTTTGACTTGCATTTAAGAAACTTTAACCTTCGCCATAAGCTGCCATACGGGGGCATCAGTGTTTCACAAACACATCTTGTTTAAACTAAATTTCACTACAGAATATCTCCTCTACCTGATCAATACCTAGGACACACGGCGAGTGTGACCTGTTGACAGCGGATGTATACTATTCCAAGGCACCTGATCTTACCTCTGGAATATTTAAGGGTTTATGTTTAATGCTCTATTCAAAGATTTATATCATTTTGTAGATTTTTATATTATTTTATTTTTTTAAAACGTTGATCACTTTTTGTTATCTTTTCGTTTTTCATTCAAACAACTTAGTGGCAGGTTGAATCTACAAACTACATTTTTTTTTTTCCCGTAAAGTTTGTGAAATGTTGACTTTATAGGAGATAGTTCGTGTACTGTCAATGTAGTTGTAGATAGTCTATTTCAATTTAGATTGTAGACGTAAGAGCATGTTGCTGCTAACCAAATCAGCTGTGGTGACATTATACACCATATAGCTTATAGTGGTATGTTGCTACATAAATAAGGGAAGGAATGATTGAAAAAAGAATTGAATCAATGACCCTTACATATCCATAAAAGTCGCCCGCGTGTCGCAGTGGTTAGAGAGTCTGCTCTAGAGTCGCGAAGTAAGGAGTTGATCCTTACGTCGCGGGTTCGAATCCCACTGTGGAACGTGGAGACCGGTCCTTCGGATGAGACCGTATAAACCGAGGTCCCGTGTCGCAGTGGGTGCTGGCACGAAAAAGATCCCTCACTGCTCAATGGCCGTAAGTGCCGAGTATAGGACAAAATTTGCAGCTTTCCATCGGCAAGTGGTGGCGTCTCCATATGAGTGAAAAATTCTTGAGAGGGACATTAAACAAAATACAATCAATCAATCAATCAATCAATCAATCAATCAATCATATACATAAAAAGCCTTTGAATTGCTAATGAAATTATATCTCAATGTTTAAAATTTTACAATAAAAATGAAATTTGGCTGTGCATGGAAAATAAATGATAAATATACAGGTATATACATAATATATAATATGAACTGGAGGGTGTGTGTTCGGCTGCGACTGACCTAAGTCGATAAAAAAAAAATAGGTAACAGCTGTTCCATTGTCAAGCGCTCGGCACTTTGAGGTGAACTTTGTGGGTCTTTCGGATGAGACCTTAAAAACGGAGGCCCCGTGTCAAGGTAGGCGTTGGCATGATCAAGAACCCTCACTGCTCAACTGCCTCGAGTGCCGAGTAAAGGTCTAAATTTGAAATCCTTCACCGGTTTACGGTGACGTCCCTATATAAGTGAAAAATTCTCAACAATATATAATCAATATTTAATCAATCAATAAATCAATCAACTCGACATTTATATATGTCGACAACGTATTATCAATTAACAATAGTTCCTTCCATTCACATGTCGACTCGATATATCCCAATGAATTTTGTTTTAAAAAAAGATACCATAGGATCGGAAATATCTGATTCATATCTGGATGTTTTAGTTTATGATAAACCTGATGTCTTCAATTTTTCAATCGTCAATTTCTCTTACTTATGTAGCAATATTGGGTTTTTGTCTTCTAGTTGATTCGATACGTAAGAGCATGCTACACATATGAACAATTTCTAAAACGAGGAAAGCTATTGACAAACAAGTTGATGAAACAAGAATATCAACAGTCTGGTTTGAAGTCATCATTTCGCAAGTTTTCATGGTCGATACAATGACCTTGTCAGCAAACACAACGAATACTGACTGACGTTTTTCATACTTATTGTAAGGTCATTATTTACACACTAAATTATCTACAGATTTTTCCGTTTTTCCCGATCATGACAAGGAGCACATGGCGGGTGTGATCGTTCAGCAGGGGATGTTCAGTCCTCCATGGCATATTATTCATCCTCTTATGTATTTGGAGGTCCATGTTTGCTCTGCTCCCGATGGTTATTGTTTAAATGGACTTTGAACTTGAATACTGTTTGCTATCTCCATATTTTATATTAGAGCCATTTTTTTTTCTTTACCTGGTCAATGAATTTACAAAAAATAATAAAAATGTATATACTCACATAATAATGTAGTTAAAATAAATATTTCAAGAGATGACATTGTATCCCGTTGATTCTACAATGAGAAATAAATCGTCGT